CTGAGCAGATGATCTACATGCAGACGGGGCCTTTTAGTGAGTGTTTTCTTCTTCTCAAACGTTCAGCTGCAGACGAGAGGGTGGTGGCTTAGTAGGAAGTTTTGTGCTGAGTGAGCGGTTCTTTGCTGCCAAAGTTGTAGGTGGAACGTGCTTACGGCGATATTTGCGTCGCAAGTTCTCATGGTGATTGCTTACTGCGGGGCCCTGGCTTCCTTCCCGGACTACTGGTGGACCTGCACGTTGTGCTTCGGCCTGCCTTTCTCGTACATCGCCATTCAGAAGCAGCTGCGCTGCATTATGATGTGATTCGTTCGTGGCATACTTTCGGCGGCGAAGCGTAAGGTACCGGGATAAGGGAACAGTGAAATTTATGTTCGGAGCCCTTGAATGGAAAGGAAGCATGAGGCAGTGGTGTGTGCAGGGGTTCATGTATGATTTTGTCGTAGGGTGTGATTTTTCATGTTGTCTTGGTCAGCATCCACATGATGTTTCATGTTTTAAATGCTGTGTTGCTGGCTTTCAGCATCTACATCGACCACGATGTCATGCACGGGGCCACGTTCCCTGTCTATGAGTGGCAGCGCTTCCTCACCCACCCGTTTCTTGGTGGCACTTTTCTACAACATTAGCACTTGACTTGTAACAGTTTTGGGGGCTCCTGAAGTAGGTTGGCACAGAGCGACCAAGGTTTGCAGATTTCTTCAGTTTGCCGTGGGAGGAGTTCGTCCTGGAGCACAACAGGCCAGGAAGTAGTTGCACGCTTTGAAGTGTCCTCTGCTGTTTCTGATCTGCATTGCCCAGGGAGCTGACAGCTCTCTCATCAATCAAGGAACACGTATGATCAACATGCAAAAGCTTAGTCAGCTTTTCGCCGCTTTCCTCGAGTAAGGGGAGTCGGTCTCATTGAGCCGTAAGTGCCAAGTGGCACATTGTTGTGGTGCTGGCAAGCAAGAGACAAACAACAGGCATCACGCGTCCACGGTGGACTTGCTGATCCAGGGCGAGTTCGGCTGGGATCCCGAGGAGTTCCGCTACATAGATTTTCTGCGAATGTGCGAACTTGTACACAAAAACCTGCTAACCCCTTAGAACACATGGTATCTGCAGATATTTGACAGGAGTTCCACTATGCTCTGCAGCAGTGGGCCGGGCCGTGGGGCTCCAACTGGTACAAGTACCTCCTGACTGTGCCGTTCATCCCAGGCAGCATGCTCAGGACAAGATTCTCTTGAATCGGTGGCATTTTCTTTTTATGCCAACAGAT